CGCGCGGCATCTGCGCGATTGCAACTCACAAGTAATGGGATACACCCCCTATTATGCCTGAACAGAATACATGTACGAACAAGTTTATCGAACAACTCAGGTAATTCTACAGAAATCATGCTTTCTTTCCCGGACCAGTGGATATGACGCCTTAACTAGCGTTTTAAGCTTTCGCAGATTCTGCGCATTCATCCTTACTCTATTTGTTAATGCTTTGACTCTCGATTATGCCTTCGTATTGCACTCTTCAAATGCTTGCTGTTGTTTTTTGTGAAAGGACTGATAAACAAGATGATTTCAGAAGCGCCTTCTGCACAGAACCTGCGAAAGTTTGAAATGAATCAAACAGTAGCGTCCGGTTTTGTGAGTTGATAGAACCATTTGCTTCATTCATGCTATAGTGTTATACACTTCAGTCCAAAATCGCTTGCCGACAGCTCTTGGGCCAAAGCGGATTCGGTAGTTTTTCTCCGGTAAACAACCACCTATCCTTCTCAATTACACTCCACCCTAAGAACTCTTAGACTTCTCTGCATTTCAGCCTTCATCAACTCCTCCAGCTGCCACTGGGCCTACGGCTCCTGATATGGTTTGAAGGAATACAGAAATTTTTTCTCTAACTAGCAGGTTTTTAGAATGTCCTTGAAGACATTGAGAACACACCAAGATTTTCGGGTCAGAATATTCGCACAGTATGTCCGACTTATAGTAGTTTTTCTTTTATACACAAACGCCAGAAATCTTTATCGGCGGCTACAGAATTTCGGTTTTCTTTTCCTTTGCCCATCGATGCCGAGATTATGTAAAGCCAAAAAGATGTTTGGTATTTCAATGCTTTTTAAACTTCATTAATGATTTTTTGACTATTACGGGCACCAAAAGATAGCCTTGGTGACGCAGTGAGAAGCCTGTTTTTCGAGATGTTTGAAGCAACTTTGTCGGAGCCGTACGAATTGGTCAAACCCACGCAGCCGAACGCAAAGGCCATACCATCCCTAGATCCCAAATCTAGAGTGCTTATCGAGAGAGTAAAGACTTTTTTCGAAGAACTGAAAAGGAGACTTGGGAATGAATGCCGCCGCACGATCTTCAACTCACCGGGAAAGCTCACTGCGTTAGCTTGCGGAGTACACGAGGCGACGGTCTACCGAGTAGCGAAGACCCAGGCCGGAATGGTGCACCGTCCAATTCCTCGCACAAAGCATGTGGAACGGAATCCGCGCCAGCGAAGGAGAGATGCCTTACAGAAATATGGCGACCAATGGGGCAGCGTGGTACGCCATTTCATCCACGACAAACTGCGCGCGGAGAGGCATGTTACGGTAGAAGACGCATGGAAGGAGCTGGGCGAGATTCATGAGGGATTTCGGATGTCTCAGACGGAATTTAGGGATGAAACTACTATGGATTGATTGCCTCCATATAACCTAATTTCAGCTCGATGACTTCATCATGAGCAGAGGTGGGTTGTCTGCTTTGCGCAGATACGCAACAGAAAGTAACTGCGCAGAGCATGGAGTTGCAGTGATAAGGTACCGCCTTATCACTGTTTCTTCAACCCTATAGAGTTGTGCTTGAGCCAGCTAAAGGGCCACTTATGTAAGCTCGGAAGACCC